CCGGTTCGCCGCATTGTGACGCGGGCCTCGACATTGCCAACCTTGCGGGACAGCTCGTTCACGGGCTTCACCAGACTCTGCCCAGCCAAGGCTGTCGAGTGCATTGCGGTAGCTGCTGCCATGTTTACACCCACGTTCCTCAACGGGAGATGTCTTACAAGTATCAAATGCACAGATGAAGCGGACTCGCTTGACTGCCTCGATGCCGTCATTCAGCCCCGGGCCAGGGCTTTATAAGGACTTCGTCCAGCGCAAATCATGTTCGGGGCAGTTGTATCGCGAGCGGATTGGAGAAGGCGAGCTCCACCAGGATAGCGAGACAATCTGGATGAAATTCCCATCAGGTTGGTCGTCTTGGACGCTGCTGGCAGCCACGGAAACGGGTTCCGCTTCCATCAAAACCAGATGAATGTGGCATTCCTTTCCCAGCATCGTCACCAACATGGCCCTTCTGTGGAGTTTGTTCCGCTGGTGGTCCGCCAGCCTCACAAACCGCGAAGTTCAGGATCTTTCGCACTCGGAGCTCAGATAAAAGCAAATGTCGATGTCTTCGTCCTGACACAAGTCTCATTCTACTCTTGGTCGGAAAACTTGATATCCTTCTTGTTTGTCTAAGGCACCTTAAGAAACATCATCATGGAGGCCTAGTAGCTGGCTTTATGAGGCTCATCGCACAGGAAGTTCACGTTTGGCAAACAGAGAAATACATTTTATCTTTTGATAGTGTATGCTTCCTGTTCACTTTGTAGTTCCGTAATTTCTAGTCATCGTTTCCTTCGCATTCTGTTCACAAGGTGACGTGTTTATTGTAAGGAATTTGAACTATTGGTTCGAGGTAGATAACTCAGGCCTGATTGCTACTTCATGAGTACCACACTGCTCATGCGGAGACATTTGAAGAGCATGTTCACATGCATCCTGTACAGGATGGTCGTAGATTAATGGCAGTTTCCGATTTCCACCTATTTCTCGTTCTTGGCTGCGTACGTTGTAAAATACGCCAACTTGATGAATACTAAAGGTTTGAAGCGAACAAGTCACTATCTCTCGTGTTAGGTGCTAGACACTCTAGACGCGTAGATGATTATGCTGTGTAAAACCATCCTACAACCTGTCTGGAGATAGGAGTCTTCAAGTGGCACTACAGCGATTTTTTTTCAAGATCATGGGGATAGTACAGGGTTATTTTGCATTTGGTCTCGGTTCACCACGTAGTTTCGTAAATTCGAGTCCTGATTTCCTTCGCATTTTGTCCTCAAGATGACGTGTTAGTTGTACGGAAATTTGAAAAATTGATTCGAGGTAGAAACGCAGGCCTGATTGCTAATTATTGTGTATCATACTGCTCATGCGGAGGGATTTGTAGAGCATGTTCACGCGAATTGTGTACAGGATTGTCGTAGGTTCATGGCACTTTTCAATTTCCTCCTATTTCTCGTTGGAGGTTGCACACGTTGAATAGTACACCAACTGAATGAATACTAAGTGTGTAAAGCGAACAAGTCACTTTCTCTCGTGGTTTTTCATAGTCGCCCCAGACGAGTAGATGATTGTGCTGAGTAATACCTTTCTTCCACTTGTCTGGAGCTTGGAGACTTCAAATGGCACTGCAGCGATTGTTTTTCAAGGTCGTGGAGATAGCGATTATTTTTCAAGGTCGTGGAGATAGCACAGGGTTAGTTTGCATTGAGTTGGAGAGCATTTAAGTCGTCCAAGACAAAGTAGCTGAGTTATTCATGGAAGCTTTTTCAGTTATTTAAGAGACTGTGTTGTTTGTTGAAATCCCTCTTTAATACGGATAGCTATTGTCAATTTGAATAGAAATTGTAGTTAAGTTAAAAATTGAACACAATTGAAGAAGAGAACCATCACGACAAGCTAAAATATGCCTAGTCTTGTATCCCCAGAATAAGTCTTCAGGTATGGGCAAAAACATCCTGTGATAATTAATCCAAGTGGTTCTGCACGTTCCATAAGTGAGTGAGACAGAAATCCCAACCAGCACCCACTCGTGCATGAAAGACGCCTAATAATTTAAACAGCTGTAAACACCTTCTTGTTTCCTCCGTCTGAAGCGCCCATGGGAATCACCTTCAGAACGTTAAATCTCACGGTCTTCGACAGAGGCCTGAGAAAAACAAATGCGGGTTGGCTTTCAGAAAGTCACTCAAAAAATGCTCTCATTGTAATTTTTAGGTGGCAACCATTTAGTTCAGTATAAAGAACTGATATTCATTTAAGGTAGAGGCAAAGAACTAACCTGCATTGGCCAATGATGACCTTGTCACCCTCCTTAACACGGAAAGCAGGGGAGACGTGGGCGGCCAAGTTTGAGTGCCTCTTCTCGTACCTGCAAGAGGAATTCAAGTCATGATGGGAAAATAGTCAATGCACGTGTCGCACAATTGATCTCAAGTTCATTCAAAACAGTAATCCTGCAGATATTATGGAGTCAAGCAATTAAACAATGCGAATTGAAAGGGGCAAGGAAAACCCACCTCTGATACTTTCTAACGAAGTGAAGGTAGTCCCGTCGGATGGTAATCGTACGGGTCATTTTAGTGCAGTTGACAGTTCCGGTAAGGATGCGCCCTCGGATAGAAACATCTCCAGTGAAGGGGCACTTCTTGTCGATGTATGTACCTAATAGCAGGGGTGCCCTTCCTCAAATTAGGGAGTGAGGAAACTAGACATCCGTTTCAAAGAAATCCAAACCCTAGGTCACGAAACTCGATGGCTACTAAAACTCGTATCTACTGTTCTGGACATACTGATTCATGGAGAGAATACCAATTAAAGAAGCAGGAAAGCATTTCAAGACTTTTGCTTCTTTACATAAAAGTGTGAACCACCTTAATGTACAGTGAGGTCCACAAATGAAAATCGGACATGTTAATAAACCCTCATAAGTCACCAGGAATGTCATAAAAGGCACTCGTTATTCATGACTGACGTGACAATAGTACAACGACCTCTTCGGCGACGGAGACACGATTAGATCTTATTGAGTTTCCAAACTATGCTACTGCAGCATTAAAGATGATCGGTGCAAACCATCTTACCACAAATTTCCACCAGATTCTTCAGTCCGCAATAAAATTCAGAAGATAAGTAAGATTTAGGCCAGTAGGATTAAGTTGATAATTATAATAAGGAATACCTTCGATAGCTTCCCGGGGAGTCTTAAAGCCAAGACCTACATTCTTCCAGAATCGAGTTCCAGCCTTCCCTGCTGCCTTTCCCTTCGACGAAGCCTTCGTGCTGTAATTTATTTTTTTAAAACAGAGCAGTTTGTAACCTAAGGTACCCAACTACATTATTTATACCAAAAATGTCGCTAAACTGACAAACCAAATCTATCACAACACACACTAGGAAGTGCAAGACAGTTACAAGACCATACCTGAGAAAGACCTTGGGCTGCTTCAGAAACGACTTCTCGGTCTGGAAACAATTAAATAAACAAATATTTGAAAACGAAGCCCACAAACCATCGGCAAAACCTTCGGAATCCAAACCCCTAAACCTACAATTTGAACCGCACTCCACAACCTCTAGTGCAAAGATTACCAAAGGAAGAAAACTACTTCAGACGATCAACTATGTGACATCCAACAGCACCTGCTCCGCCATGGTGCTTGAGCTGGTTGATCGAGGGACGAAGCGGAGGATGCACGACGAAGGCGAAGGTGCAAAATTGCGAAAGAGAATGATAGATGAGCTTGCGCGGCTCTTATGGCAGTTGAAGCTGGACGAGATTTAGGGCACGACCATTCTGTCACAGAACATGACCACTTCCACGATCATTCTGTACACGAATTACTGCTGTGTTTACCAAATACTTCTTATTAAAATCCATAGGTATATTGTTACGTATACTGAGTTTATTAATAGCATCAATAAACTCGTATATATGTTATTTTTAGAGTTTTAAAAATTAAATAAATACTAATAATATAACATAGAAAATACATCATACATCCATTGAATATACAATTTACATATAATCTTACTTGATTTTTATATTAACACACAAACATTATAAAATTTAAGATATATTTTTTTTTAGAACAATACTATAATGTTTAATTAAAACTTGATTTGTTGTAAAAGAATTAATGATTGCAAAAAACTTAATCTTTGAAAGTCTATAGATACTTAGAAAATCTAATTGTATTCCACAATAATTTAAAAAATGTTATTAGTTGGAAAATACTTATTATTTGTAAATAATCAGCTATTGTGTTATAATTTCAAAAAAACAGCATATATGAATAATATTTTAGAAAAGTAATAAAATAAAATGACATAAATTATCAATAAAATAATATTTCTGTCCATAACAATTATTACTAACTTGTATGAATTTATAAGCCAATACAATTTATATATTGTCAACAATATCAACAATCCAAAAAAAGAACCTATTCTATTACTTATGTAACTTCCAATATTAATTTCCTTTATTAGAATTTATTATTTGGTTAGTTTTTTCTAAAAATAAATTTAAAATTATACTTTAATTTATGAATAAGTTATAATTTATTTTCTAAAATTGGAAATTTTAAATTTGATAATTGAATTTTTTTTTTTTAGAATATTTAAATCTATAAAATATTATAAAATTTTAGATATATTTTTTTAATAGTATTTCTATAAACTAATAAATAACTTTAAAAATTTAAATAGAAGTTTAATTAACATGGTTTTCATGGACTATATCATACTTGTGATATAAATAGATAAAGATAGATTATTTTTCTATAGATTTTTTTTTTTATATTTAATGTTGATAACTTTTATAAAATTATCTTTATTATTAAATATATCTATGTTGTAATTAACAAAAAATTAAGATTATTACTTATATTCAAAAAAAAATCTAAAATATTAAAGATGTTATATTAAATATAAATATTATAAATAATAAATGTAATCTACAACAAAAGTATTCTTATCAAAAACATACATATTCACTAAACTTAAAAGAATTATATTAAGGTAGGTAGAAGTTAATAAATTTGATAATTATTTATAAAGAATCTTTTTAGAAGCTTTATAGACATACTATTGTATTGTAACATAATTACTAGGAAAAAAATAAAAAAGAATAATCATATTATAGAAGTATTGCGTCAAAAAATATTATAGCAAATTATCTTAGAAATATAAATAATAGTCAAAGAGGTAGAAAAATTAATGAATGCTAATACTACTTTCTGCAAAATAGGCTTCTCTATACTTTGTATGGCCATAAATAAGGTAAAAAAAAAATAGATTATAAAATTAAATAATAAAAATATTTTTAGAAGAAATTTAAGAATATTTTATAGCAAAAAATATCTTAAAAAACAAAGAATTGATACCCAAAGAAGACTTATTTAAACTAAGATCAAAAGCAGATCATGAGCTGCAAAACTGATCACTTATGGTATTTTTGGGATTTTTCTTGCAAATCAAAAAGCAAGGTTAGAAGGACAACTTTAAAAAGGTTTTTTTAGCTTTGGTTTGAAGTTATATAAAGAAATATTGAATTTTGAGAGCTTTTCAAAGTGAGAGATGTTTTTAGTGATTTTGGATTTCAAGAAATAAAAAAAAGCTTATATATTTGAGGATTTTATAAGTATTATAGTAGATGTATAAGAATTTTTTTTCTGGATATGTCAATGTGCTTGTGTCAAAAACATGAACTGGAAGAAGATGCATAAACTTAAGAAATTTGTATCAAAAGAAAAATAACAAAATAAAAATAAAATAGTATATATATTAAAAGAAAACTGGAATGGCTATTGCCAAAAGACAAGGAAACTAAAGACTCTTGAATCTAGACTAGAAGCAATAAAGAGTTGGTAAGAGCAAAGAGGTCTTCATTCTTGCCTCTATATATACTATCTAACTAAGAGCTACATGACAATGTTCTATAGGACCTCTAATATGTGTTGATTTTGCAAGACACATGCCTTAGCTTAGAAGACAAGTTTTCTATGTATGCGCCACATAGTTAGCTTGTTCTTCAAGCTATTAACATGTATGGCACATGGCTAACTTGTTGACGACGTTTTTAATCTAGAAAGTCAATTACACATACCTATAAAGTCAGATCAACATCTATAAAGCTTTTAAGAAGCTTCTATAGAAGATATTATGGAATTAACCTATTTTACGTACTTCTATCTAATCATATAGGTAATTATTGGTTTATATGTATATGTTCATGACATTACTCCCCTTCTAGAGACAAGTTCCATAAGGAGTAGTCATCATATGTTGAAGAAATCTAAGATGCAACAAATTGTATTTGCTACATACTCTAATCTTTGTTCTCTTTGAAGATGGTTGATAGGGCCTCTCAACCATCGATAGTGTCCCATACCAAGGCAAAAAGACCACTTAATTATTTGATCTTTATTGAAGCCTTCATAACTTCCTTCAAATAAAACATTTGAAATACCATCATGAGTTGTTCCTATCATTAGTAAATCACCAAACAACAAGAGTCCTTTCTAAGGTTGTGATATCAAATGCATTATATCTCACCATCTATATGGAGAAGAGTACATTGTTCTTAAGGATCTTCATCTTGATTGCATCACCTTAAAGGTTGTGATAATTACAATGCTTTATGTGGTAGATCAGCAAATGAAGGCTTTTGAGTCAAATCCGCTAGTTATTGGTTCTTCATTTCTTAAGTATCACAAATACAAAGAAGCTACAGCAATGATAGAAAGTAAAATGTTATCTTACTTAGATCTTGTTTCTTTTATAAGAAAGGTCTTCAACTTGGTTTTGATGGATATTATTGATAAAAAAAACCTTTAACTTCTTTGTTGCATTTGTAAAAAATTTTGGTAGCTTCCATGTGCATTTATTAATATCATATTCGTGCTAATAGATGAGATATTCCAATTTATTTTGGCGCCGCCTTGAGTCCAAAACCTCTTCCATTTTAAACTCTTCATTATTGTCCACTTCTATAGAAGGAGGTGGAGCTTGTCTTCTTCTTGGTATATTCATAGTCTTGTATGGTTTAAGAAGAGAAATGTGGAAGACAAGATAGATCTTCATTGAATTTGATAGATGTAATCGATAAGCAACTAGATTGATTTATCCACAAATAAAAAAATATCGAAGCCTGTAGTAGTCCAACTTATCATAAGCACAAGTAATCTTGATATTACAACAAAATAACTATACCTTGTTATCTACATTAAATTATGGTTTTTTCTTTCGATAAGTATTAGTGTTCAACTTTTGTTATTCTTGAGCTCTCTTTAATTACACCTTCATTGTTGTATGTAGCTCAAACAAATCATTTACAAAATCTTCCACCATAGGATTATTATTTTTTTAAAAATCAAAAGTATCAAGTCGTGGATGGTAACTATAATTAGCAAAGAAAGGTATTTGATGCATAGAAGAATGCATCGTATTATTATAAGCAAAATTTGCTAATAGCAAAAGAGTTTTCTAATCATCTTATTGATAATTAATTATACATCTTAAATATTGCTCCAAAACTTGGTTTATATGCTCTGTATATCCATCAGTTTGATGATGAAAGGTCGAAAATAACTTTATATCTATTTTTAAAATCTTAAAAAAAGTTCTTCAAAATCTTAATACAAATTGAGTCTCCCTATCTAATATAATATCCTTTGATAATCCATGATATTGATAGATATTGTTAAAAAAAAACTTGGTTATTTTTTCACTTGTGATAGATTTTGTATATGGTACAAAATGTGCTATCTTCGTAAAATAATCTTTTATCACAAATATAGAATTATACAAACCTGAGACTAAAAGATCTGTGATAAAATCCATAGAAACAGAAGACCATGGTTGTTTTGGAATAGGTAATGGCTAAGGAAGTCTAAAAGGTCAATGATGGGGAGTTTTTGATCTTGAGTAAACATCACATAATTGAACAAAATCTTTGAGTGCCTTCTACATTTACAACCACCAAAAATCTTTAGATATCAACTCTAAAGTCTTGTTGTATCTAAAATGTCAAGTTGTTAGAAAATCGTGGTATACTTAAAGAACACGTAAATGTGCCTCTTCTTTTGGAACATGTAAGCATTCTTCAAAATAGAGTAGGTTGTTTTTGAATTCAAATTTGGAAGCATCATAAGACTTAGAAAAAAGATTCTTGATATCATCAATGAGAGGATCAAAAGACATATTTGATTGAATTTATTTGACAAAGGTTAAATCAATAATTAATGTTGATTTCATTACTTGAAGATGAAAATACTTGGATTTCAAGAGAATCATTCTTTAGTTGATCAAAAGATACATCTCTTTCTTTTGGTAGAAAATAAGAATATCTAGAAAAGGCATTTGACAAACCTTGTTGTTTTCTAGGTCAATATGTGATCTTGAAATCAAATCTTGATAAAGACATGTTCCAATGGACTTGGCCACAATTCAAAATACATATTCATATGAAGTATTCGAGATTCTTATGATCTGTATACACGATGATTGGATTAAAAGCATCTTCTAAATAATGATGTTATTCTTGATAAGAATCCATAATTGTAAAAAAAAATTTATCGTGGATCTCATAGTTAACCTTAGCTACTGAAAATTTCTTGGAATAAAAAGCTACTGGGTGAAATTTATCATTTAATCTCATTTTTGATAATATAGTATCTAAAGCAAAGTCTGATGCATTTGTTTCCATAAAAAATGCCTTATAGAAGTCAATGTTGTTGTATTGTGTGGTTTTCTATTTGAG